TTGTGGACACCCTTCACCTGGAACGATTGGATCATGTGGACACCCTTCACCTGGAAACTCTGCGCTTCTTTGGTATAGCCTGGGAATGACATAGGCCACAACCAGAGCAAAGCGGTAATCTGCGTGGTCGGGGTCCTTGCCCTTGACTCTGAAAGGTCCACATATATCCATGCTCATACAATAGGCCGAAGGAGCCTTGATCTTCATGTGACGCCTTCCTGTTCCACTGGACTCCACACATGTTCTGCATCTGCGATTGTATGGAAGGTGATTGTTCTTCACGTGCACCCTCCACTGTTCTAGTTCCTTGTTGGAGAGGGAACTCAAAAAGGAGCCCGCGTCCATCTTGGCCATCCACTTCGCCCGCTGTCTTGTCTCTGGGTTCCACATCCATTTGGTCACGGCGTGGGTGGTACTGTTCTTGAACTCCTCGGTCCACCTTCCAGAAGAAGAAGAGGTAGTCATCTCCCCTTGGTCATAGTCCAAATTGGTGACGACCGTGCCGTACTGCTCCTCCAAACACATGGTCTCCACGAACAGCCTCCAAGCTTGCTGTAGTCCCGTAGGTTGAGGATACCTTTCTTTGTTGCTCATGTAGCTCACGAACCTTGCACCCTCAAACATCACAAAGGCTGGGGACTCCTCGTAATATCCACGCGCTGCCTTGGCAACCAAAGAACACCACATGGCCTTTCCAACCAAACCTTCATCATCTTCCGACCTCATCGGCGGGGAAGCCATCACACCCTTCACGCGTCCCGTGGCTGCGGCCCACATAATGGCCCGATATGCTCCCATTGGCCTCCTCAAGTCAAAGGCCCGAGATCTCAAGATATCAACCTCCACAAGAACGCAACCATCCTCCAAGACCTTCATCTCCACCGTCCCGTCACTGGGGCCAGCGAATAGGTTAACCACCCATTCACTCGCCATCAAAAGCTTGCGTCTCCTTCTAGACACTGGCAAAGCTTGTAGGCACTTCCATCCAGCGCGGTTGTTCAGCACTAGGTCCTCTGCCATGGCACCCTTTGTGAAGGAGCTCAAAGTAGTGAACGGGGAGTCCTCCGCATCGATGGCCTTCAGCTGCTGGGCTCTCTCTCCAGACTTCAGAAAAGCATGCAGGTGCTTAGACCAATCTGCATCTTGATCCCAAAGCCACAGGGCCCTCTGCATCGCAGCCGTGGTTCGCTGGAGGTCTTCGACTCTCTTGTCCTCCAACTCCTTGATCAGCTGCAATGCCTGAGTTTCGCCAATCAGCGGACACTTGCCGATCACTCTGGGCCGAACTGTCCCATGAACAGGATGAGTTATCTCAAGGCCCCTCTTCTTACTCCAAGCCAGCTCACAGTTCAGGTCCTGCACAAGCGAGCCCAGGGGAACTATGGGGGCTGCTGAATCTTCTGTTGTGGAGGTAGTCGCCAGCAAAGTCCCCGCCTTGTTCTGTGCCAGGGTCACATAGTCCCCGTTTGCAAGCTGAACCCGAACACGATCAGCCGCCCGGATTTCTTCTTGTGTCCCCGCTCGGTAAGCATGTGAGGCTCCCGAGTCTAACAAACCCGTCTTCCCAGTCTCTGGGTCCACTCCCAAAGACCTCGCTTGAATATTAACGTCCTCCACCGTGAGAACCTTCAGCTGGCGCATCTCCTTCAGCATGCTGTTGGTCGCGTAAATCCATTTCGCTCGTGCCAACTGTTGCCTGTGCAGTTGCCGGCACTTGCGTGGTTGTTGTAGATGAAGAAGACTCCGAAGCCGCTGGAGGTACCGAAGAAGATCCTGAGGGGGGCATGGGGTGCGTAACTTCCGGAGCAAAGGCCGCCACGGTAGGTGTGGTGTTGGTACCATCAGATCTCGTAGTGATAGTCCTCGTTGGGCTTTTGGGGTTGTTGGTCTTATTGTCCTTCTCCTTTGTGGGGCAGGCCTTGGCAACATGCTGTTTACTTCCGCATGTCCAGCATCGCCCTTGACGTTGTTTCCGGTCAACATCATGGTTGAACTTGCATGCCGCTCCTCTTTTGCATCCTTGGTCTGTCAGGAAAAACTTGCAAGGGGCACCCTTCGCTCCCTTGCCAGGGGAGCCGTCCTCAGGCGCCGAAGTTGTGGTAGAGGAAGAGGCCGTCGTGGTTGATGTTGCATTCGCCATAGCCTTCAAGGACGCTGCCGAGGGATTCGTGGTAGCCTTTTGTCTGCCCCTGAAAGCCACCTGCTCGAACTCTGCAAGCAAAGACTGATGCAGATCTTGAACAGACCTCAAAGTGGGCTTGGCATCCACCTCCAAGGTATACCTCAGCATGTTGACCCTAAACTGTATCTCCCCATGGTCCTGAAGAACTCGTTTGACAATACTGTCCACACCGCGTAGGAGGATGCTAGGGTCCGGTTGTTGTAGGCCCACGTCACCTGCTCTTCTTAGCCATCTCGACCATCTTCTGAGGCCGTCAACTGCCTCAGAAGCGTTGCTTGCCGAGCTCGGGGACTCCAAAGCCTTCAATATTTGCTGCCGCTCGGCTGCACTTCCAGGACGGTATAGCACCATGACCCTTCCCAACACCTGCAAGGTTCCCGTCAATCTCGACGCCAGGACCTCCGCCTTGATGCCTTCTGGGAGGCTGCTCAGTAGCATAGATGTGGCCCGCTTGTCCACCCTGCTCCATCTGTCGTCCTTCACAAACTGGGTGGCGTAGGTCTCCGGCCTCATAGACAATCTCGTCAGATTCGTGCCTTGCAGGTAAGCCTCGTAGAATCTATCCAAGCATTGTAGAATCTCCCGCCACCACATGGATGACCCGTTCGACAGGTCTCCCATCGGGCACTCCAAAGCGTGCAACCAGTCCCCCACATCGATGCACGAGGTCTCAGACAGGTCTGGGAGCCTTGGAAGCTCTGTTATGCCCGGCTTCACCAATTCTTGATCATGAGCACGACTCGTCATTGTCGCACTCATCGCGCTTTGAAGCTGCGCGATTCCCTGTGCCAGCATGCCAAACGGATCTAGTGGAGCCTTTGCTCCCCTGCCACCGCCATCGTCTGCCGCCTTCGGGCCGTCCTTGTTCAGCACGCGCACACCACTGTCTATCAACCCAGCAGTCCCACCTTGAGCTCCACCCAGGCCCCCTGAAGCATTCAGGGTCTCTCCGCCCAAACCTTCTTGCCCTTGGCGAGCTACTGCTGGATCACCGCCGCGAAGTTCAAAGGGGCCGCGGTCACCATCAGGAATTCCTGCACGAGATTGGGCCTCCAAACCCGGAGGGGGCCCTGCGATCTCAACGCCTTCACTTGCTTCACCCCGATTGACCTCCGACATCGGAGGCCCCTGTGGAGGTCCTCGTGTAGCTTCCCCGCGTAGTGCTCCTGAAAGAACTCCACCACCTGGGTGCTCCCGAAGATCGCCTCCTCGTAGGTCAGGAAGAAGAGTGGGCTGCTGAGCTTCGCTCTCTCTTCGCAGCAACTCACTTCGAAGCCTTTTGTTTTCGTCTTCTAACGCTCGAAGCTCTTGCTGGTGTCCATCCATTGCTCTCTGCACTTGCCGATGTACCTCTGCTAGCACCTGCTCCTGTGTCAACGACCCTGTAGAGGAAGCCGTCTCCCGCGGAGCCACTGAAGCTTGGGCTCCCATGCCATAGAGCAGCGGTGCTCGGTGAGGCCACTGCTGCATCATCTGTTCCGCTTCTTGTCCAAAGAGCGGTGCTTCCACTTGTGGAGACGCCCAACTTGTTGGAGGAGTGGGCGCCGGCCTCATAGATGTTCTTGCAGGTCGTTCTAAAACAGGAGCCACCACCGCCGCAGCCTGAGAGACTCTTTTCTGAAAGAACTCCCCAAGCCTCATCATCCACACTGCCTGGTTCGCACCTTGTTCAGGTCGCTGAGGAAAGTCCTCAGGCGGGGAGGTAGTGATCACTTGTGTTGTCATGCCCTGAGACTCGACATGTTGTTGTAGCTGCGAATCGTGCCCCTGAGGTACTCCACGAACCCTTAGCTGCCCCTGTGCTTGAGGTACGGTAGGACTCGGCTGCTGCACTGGTACCTGAGGTGCAGAAGGACTCGGCTGCTGCACTGGTACCTGAGGTACAGACGGACTCGGCTGCTGCACTGGTACTTGAGGTACAGTCGGAGTCCTCTGTTGTGCCGCCGTACTCATAGAGGCAACAGGTGTCTGTGGTGGTAGCGGAGCTGTCGCAACACCTGATAGAGGATCTTGCACTTCGGTAAGCTGGCTCTGCGGCTGCTGCTGCTGCGGTTGCTGTGCGATGTTGTCTTGCGCGCGTGTTGTATGTTCATGTGCACGTTGTGCGTTCTCGCGCCGTTCGGTTTCAGCCTCCACTGTAGCAGATACCGCACTCTGAGAAACAACACCCACATCTTGTTGCAGCGCCCCATAAGTGACATGTCCCGTCTGAGTTGTAGGCACATTACCATTCAACAACGGAACACTCACTGGGCCTTCCGCACGACCTCCGGCTCCTTGATAGGCCGGTCCAGCTTCCTCACCCTCCAGGATACTTTGAGCTTGGGCGCTCATAACCTGAAAATCCTCTGGAGGCTTAGTCA